CAGGGGAAGAGAGGGAGTGGAGGGCCACATGGGAGGTTCCACGGACCAACCAAGCGGCACAATTCAGGACTCAGCCACATGGCCACACGAGCCACAAGGAGGCTGGGCATGAGGTCTAGCTGACGGTCCAGGAGGAAAGGGACTCAGGTTAGGGGACCGGCCAGGCTCTGCCCCACCTCCTTACTTCCTTAAGCTAACATCTTCTGTTTCAAGTTTTAACAAGCAAAGATGTCACTTTCATGACTAAGGTGCACCTGGCCCAAGCTATGGCCTTTTCAATCACCTCATAACGCATGTGAAAGTTGGATAGTGAAAAAGGAGGTCAGAAAAAGAAATGATGTGCTTGAATTGTGGTGCTGGTGAAGAATATTGAATATACTGCCAAAATAACCAACAAATCAGTCTTAGAAGAAATGCAACCAGAATGCTCTTTAGAAGAGAGGATGGCAAAACTTTGACTCTCTTACTCTGGACAGGTCATCAGGAAAAGACCAATTGCTAGCAAAAGACATCATGTCTGGTAAAGCACAAGGCCAAGGAAAACAAGGGAAACCCTCACTGAGATGGATTGACACGACAGCCTCAACAACGGACTCGGAGCATACCAACGATCAGGAAGATGGTGCAAACAGGCAACGTTTTGTTCTGTTATGCGTAAGGTCACCATGAATCAGGTCCAACTCGAAGGCAGTAACAACTGACCTTAACAGCCTCTTCCAGGCTGGCTGTTCTGTTTCTATCTTGTGACCATTTTAAGTCAGATCTCCCTAAAACTCACCTCCATCTACAAAATTAATGTAATCCTTCTGTTCCTGGCATTCAAGGCCCCACATCCCCACCTGGACTCTTTCCTTGTTGCCACAGCTGCCCAGGCTTTCTAGCTTGTCCTGGCCACCATGCTCCTTGCCACCAACACACCGTTACTGATACTGTATCACCTGCCAAGCCTACCTACTTGTCCTGTTGGAAACAATTCCACCTGAGACCTCCTTCGAGTCCCACCTGCCCAAGCTCCCCTCCTCAGGAGTGTGTGCTGCCCACAGTTCCCTCCAAAATCCCCTCACCCAGTGGCATGCCTGATAGCAGACTCACTCCTGAGGAATGCATCTGTGCATCTGCATCCAGAGCAGTGGAGCTTGAAGTGGGGTGATTGACTCAGAGCAGGACTGCCTGCAGGGTGGGAGGGTGAAGGGGCAGCCGAAGTCTGGGGAGGATATAAATGGGCTCTCATCAGCCTCTGACTCCAGTTAAAAAAAAAAGAAAAAAAGGTTGCCATGGAGTCGACTCATGGTGGTCCCATGCGTGTTAGGGACTACGCCCCATAGGGTTTTTTTTTTTTTTTTTAAATTGTGCTTTAGATGATGGTTTACGGAGAAAATGAGTTTCTCATTAAACAATTAATGGAAACCTTGGTGGTGTGGTGGTTAAGTGCTACAGCTGTTAACCAAAAGGTCAGTGGTTCAAATCCACCAGGCACTCCTTGGAAACTCTATGGGGCAGTACTACTCTGTCCTATAGGCTCACTATGAGTTGGAATCGACTCAACAGCAGTGGGCTTTTAATCCTGACTGGAGCAGATCACCAGGTCTTTTTCCCACGGAGCCGCTGGGTACGTCTGAACAGCTGACATTTTGGTTAGCAACAGACAATCAGTGATTTCTTTGGGGGAGACTATACAAAACCCAAACCAAAGCCGCTGTCATTAAGTCGATTCTGACTCACAGAAACCCTGTAGGATGGAGTAGAACTGCCCCACAGGGTTTCCAAGACTGTAAATCTTTACGGAGGAAGACTGCCACATCTTTCTCCTGTGGAGCGGCTGGTGGGTTCGAACCACTGACCTTTCAGTTAGCAGCCAAGCACTTAACCACCACTCCACCAGGGCAAGACTATAGTATACATTGTAAACAAAAGTTTTCACTAGTTTTTTTTTTTTTTTTAAATTGCTCCTTAGGTGAAAGTTTACAGCTCAAATTAATTTCTTATACAAAAATTTATAAACATATTGTTATGTGACATTATCATCCCTATAATGTAACAGCACACTCCCCCTTTCCACCTTGGGTTTCCCATGTCCATCCAATGAACACCTGTTCCTTCCTGGCTTCTTTCATCCTGCCTCTGGATAGGAGCCACCCATTTGGTCTCGTGTATCTGCTTGAACTTAAGCAACACACTCTTCACGAGTATTATGTTTTTATAGTCTAATCTTCGTCTGAAGAGTGGGCTTTGGGAACAGTTTTAGTTCTGGGTTAACAGAGCGTCTGGAATCCATGGCTTCAGGGGTTCCTCCAGTCTCAGACCATTAAGTCTGGTCTTTCTACGTGAATTTGATTTCTGCTCCACACTTTTCTCTTGCTCCGTCAGGGACTCTATTGTGTTCCCTGTCAGGGTGGTCACTGGTGGTAGCCAGGCACCATCAAGTTCTTCTGGTCTCAGGCTGATGGAGTCTTGGGACCAACTGATGCATCTTAGATGGTTACTCACTAGCTTTTAAGACCCCAGATGCCACTCACCAAAGTGGGATGCAGAACATTTTCTTAAACTTTGTTAAGCCAATCGACCTAGATATCCCCTGAAATCATGGCCCCCAGACCCCAGCTCCAGCTACTCTATCCATCAAAGTGTTTGGTTGTGTTCAGGAAACTTCTTAGCTTTTGGCTTAGTTCAGTTTTAAAAGTAGCATTGGGAATGCTTTGAGTAGTAACTGGGTTGATCAACACCACTGTCATCTAATGTTTATACACCAGTGCTGGTGGGGCACAGACTTATAGTCTGACTTCTTCAACAGTGATAAATAAGCTGAAATACAGTGAGTGGTAAGTGAAAACCAAGACGGGAAGGAGTTTAGGATCTGGGTGCCAGCCATCTTGGTAGGGATACATTACTAGTTTGCCTCAGGTAAATTGGTTGCAGGGGGGATGTAACCCATGACATTAAGTTTAAGCAGCTCCCAAATGAGCACACACAAGTCAATGTGCACCTCTATTCTTCAGTGCAAAACAGGGCTCGTATCTGGGGAATTGGTATTACATGTAAATACAATGTTTTAGGAGTTAAAAAAAAGAGTCCTGGTGGCACAAAGGGTTAAGTGCCCAGCTGCTAACCCAAAGGTAGGTGGTTCGAACCCTCGCAGGGGCTTCACAGGAGAAAGACCTGGTCATCTGCTCCTGTAAAAGATTATAGCCTAGGAAATCCTATTGGGCAGTTCTACTATCACATGGGGTCGCTATGAGTCGATTTCGACTCAACGGCACCCAAGAAGAAGGAGATACAATTATCTCAAGGTGCACACGTAGTGTCATTCCACGTTCATTCTTCCTAGTCCTCTGGGCACTCCATAAAGCAGAACGTTCTGACTTGAAGATCACCTACTCTGCAGGCAGGCCAAGGGGAATAGCACGTGTCAGAGACAGGCAGAGCACTTGTGCTGGCGGCCCTTTTCTCTTTCCAGACATGTAGAAGCCACCTGAGCCACCCTGGCACCACAGACCGCTGTAGAGGACTGGCTAGCAGCCTTCAGTACTGGCTCCTCCACGACCCTGCTGAAGATGAGCCTGTGACAAGCTCCTGGGTCGTACACGCAGAGGAAGGCCCGAGAGCCAGGGGGGCGTGCCCGCACTCCGGCTGTGGCTGAGTGAGCTCAGGAAAGGGGCCCTCCAGGCTACTCCCCTACCTCTACTTATAGTCGTCAAAAGCAACAGAACCCTGAAGCCCACAAAGCAGACAGGAGCTATTCCCATGGAGCATCCTGCCAGCCTCCACCAGTGAAAGAGGAATCTTAGAAGATGCCAGGCTTCACAAAGGCTCGGTCCCTGGGTGCCTTCCCAGGAATTGCAGATCCATGGGGGCAGGGGTGCAATCTCCAAGAGATCTGTCACCAACCTGACGTTCACACAAGAGTGGCAATTTCTGTTCACCCTGGTGCTATTCTGAAGCCATCAGTCAGAGGAGGGGCAATGTGAGCAGAAAGTCTCAATGAGACTACATGCCAGTCACTGCCTTGCAGTTTTCACTCGAATGGCCCCGTTCTGGAAACCTCTGCTCTGTTTCGGAGCAGCCAGCCTAAGCAGACCGTGAGACCAGCAGCACCAGCTAGCGCTCCTTCTCACACACACATGGGGCTGCAGCTGGAAAACTCCCCGCCCAAGCAGCATAGCCACAAAGGAGGCAGGACGCTGAAGTCTATTTAAGAGCCAGATCAAGACAAGTGAAAATCCCGTGGGTTTAACTCCTTTTCTGCTCAGTCTCTAAACAAATCTTCCCTGGTCGGCTGTAGTCAAGGCTGTGTGCTTAAATAGGCCTAGTCTCGCCCTAAAAGCAGCTACTGAGCAAACAAGTATGTTTTACTTACTTCGCATATTGAAATTGCCTTATCCCATCATTCTGTCCTTCTGCTTCATTTTTCTAACACACACGCACACACACAGGGTTGGTCTGTGTTGTTCAACTCATGGCGACTCCCATGTGATGGCGCAGAAACTGCCCCATAGGGTTTTCTTGGCTGTAATCTTTATGGGAACAGATCGCCAGGTCTTTCGTCTGCAGAGCTCTGCATGAGTCTGAACCACCAGTGTTTTGGGTAGCAGCTGAGCGCTTAATGATTGCATTACCAGAGCTCCGGGGGAGGGTGTCTACTATGCCCTAACGGCTTGCAAGGGAAGCCAGTCATGCTCCTTGACCTCCTGAAGCTTCTGGTCCAGACCAGCATTTCCCAAGTGAGGTCAACAGTTTCTCCAAGTCAGAAACACCAGGCATGCTTGTTTGGGCTACAACCAAAACCTCCTAAGTGTCTGAGAGTGGGGTCCAGGCATCTACTGCTAACAAGCCCCCTCTCCCCTGGAATTCGGAGGAGCAGCTGAGTGTGGGGATCACTCCCCCAGGGACATCCACAAGCTTGCCAAGGATGATGTAAGTTGGTTAAGTTGAAAGTATGGACATAACAGTCCTTACTTCCTGGTCTGAAACCGTTTTCTGTTTAAAAAAGAAAAGATACAGAGTGAAGAATTCATTGTATTTTATTATTCACAGTTAATCACTACCTACCAAATGCTATCCGCAGAGTTAAAGGATTAAGTACATAGGTCATTTAAACACTGATTTTTTTTTTTAAATATATACACACAAAACTTAGTTCAGCAAGGCTTCATGATATACACCAATTCCAAAATAAAACAATCAAATGGTCCAGGTGTAGAATGCCAGGTTCCTTGTATCATCAGCAGGGGAAGGAGGCGCAGGGTGAGAGGCAGCAGGAGGCTCGGTTCAGGGGGCCGCGGCCTGCTGGCGCCTCGAAGGCCGAGGTCCCATCCAGCGCCACATCACTAGGGTTCAGGGAGACTCCAACAGAGCGTGTGGGGCCGAGGCCTCGCCACCCCTGGGGGAGAGAAATGTAAGCAGCCTCTTTTGTTGTTGTGGGAAGGGGACTGGGTGGAGACACGTGACTACAGGGAGAGAAGCTGATAGAGGACGGACAGAGAGCTTTGCAATGAACTCGCCTCTTGACTTTGCCAACCCTTCCTTCCCCACCGAATCTTGCTTCCTGGGAACACTCGTTTTTGGGGGGAAAGGGCAGTGGAGCGGTGCAAACACAGCCCGCTGTGAAATGAGACCAACAACCCAGCTCTCCCTTGAACACTGCCCTCCTGCTCACCTGGGCAGGTGAGGTGACAGCAAGGGGGAAAGCCATGAGCAGATACCTCTGGTGTGAAGAGCAAGAAAAATGAAAAGTGAATGCTTTTATCTCCCACCCAGCATGGGAAGAGGGTATAGGCCATTACAGTGAAAAAGCGATTTTTGAAATCCAAACATATCTTCGCTCCTGGCTTTCCTGGGTGTGGAAACTTGCTGCTCCAGGGATCTGCGTCTGAGGAACACTAGGGCTCAGGAAGGGGCAGGTGACACCTGAGACCTCGAGGCCAATAGTTCTGATCCCCTTTTCAGCCAGGTCCCGTCAGGCAGCCCCTCCAGATATCGTGGGCACTGGCTCCTTAAATTCAGAAGGGCTCACAAATATTAAAGCTGAACCTTGAAGACTTCTGGCTCCGAGCAGGCAGGAGAATGCCCACACCCACCACTGCTACTTGTCTCCTTTACTCTACCCTGCCCCCCGACCCGCGAAAAATATTTACATAGAGCAGGAGACAAATTGGCTGAAAAGCTCTGGACTGTCTTATTTAAAACAAAACAAATAAAAAACAAACAAAAATACCACTCAGAAGCAACCCTTGAAATAAGAAAAAAGGCACTATGAAAAAACAACATGCTCAATAATACCATTTGGAAGGGAAAACGAGGCGGAAAAACGGGAGGCAGGTTTTTAGTTTGACCTTCTCAGGAAGCAGGTGAGTGGCAACTTCCTTTCCTCTCACCCCCACGCAGTTTCCAACTCTGACAAGATAGAAGACAGGGTCAGGGCTGGAGGGCAGAGCCTCCAGCAGAACCCAGTACCCAAGGCGGCCAGCTGCCCGCGCCTCTCCTTTGTGTGTATGTGTGAAGAACACAGAACAGTTGTTCTTCTTTCAGCCGTCTCAACTACACCAGATATTTTGCATAGAGAAAATACCAGTCCACTTGGTGTCTTTTATTATTGGCATCGGCTAGGACTATACGTGGCAGTAGGTGTCATGCACAGATGGACAAGAGAGAAAAAGGATAAAAAACAGGACAAAGGAGGGGACGGAGGAGCAGCGGTGAAAATTTGTAATAAAAACTCTTTTCTTAATTTATAGGTACGTTTTGGCATTTTTATATCCAATCCCACTCCCACCCCCCCGAGAGTTCCAACCAAAGTGAGGACCACCAGGTGGCCCACCAGGTGCCTGCACTCCTCACAGGCTGCTGGGAAGGCAGCTTGTGGGCTCTGACTTCTGTGTGTGTTTTACATTTCCCACTCTCCTTAAATAACCTTGCCCAGCTCCCTAGACGTTCCGGTTCACAGGGGTGACGTAGTTGCGGGGGAACATGCCCGTCTGCCCGTGACAGGAGCCTTTCCACCAGTTGGGGTCTGAGTTATCCATGACGTGGATAAAGTCTCCCCGACGGAAGCCCAGCTCTCCATCCTCCTGGGGGTCAAAGTCAAAGAGGGCCTGGACGTATGTCGGTTGCTGCAAGAGAGGAACGAGGGAGAACGTAGGATGCGTTCCTGTGGGTGGCAGCGTCACGAGTGGCAGGCTGGGGCCAGGGGAAAAACCTGTGCGAAACTCTCACACCTCCTGGAGTAATCCCCAACTCACCCCAGCCCACTTATCCTCACATATCCTCACATATCCTAGGTTCACTCTCCATGGGCTGAGGGTCATCCCTCCCCAGTGCTCATGGATGGTGGCCAACCGCGCCACCTTCCTAAGTGGACAGTGGAGGGGAGAGTGGGCACCTTCGGGAATGGTAGCCTGGGTCTCCCTTCCCATCTCAGGATGTGAAACCATGTTATTTCCTCTCCCTTGTTTCCAGAGATGGGGAGCCTGGGAGAGCATGTTACAGATTGTCTCCCTATAGGTGGGAAACTAGCAAGACGCGGCCTTTGCAGACAGCACAATGACGGAGAGGCCACGGGGTCAGGGGAACTTACTGGCCATCAGAAAAGGCAAAAACATCTTATTATAAATGACAAACTTTAATATGAATTAAGGGTAACCTTTTGAAGAATAAGCATGGGGCGGGAGCTAGAAGCAACCCCCTGAAAGGCAATGGCTGGCTTGTGGAGCTGTGTTTGACTGTTTAAAACTGTTCCCAATCTCGCTCTGAGGAGGCTTACCTGTGGCACTTGTTCTATGTCCCGGAGAAATATCTGCTGGTTTCTGGAAACAGACGTAGATCTGTGATAATCTACCAGCTCATTGAGAGAATTGAACTTCACCACCCAGAGGAAATACTTGCCGGCCCCGTCTCGGAGCACCTTGAAGTGCTGCACGTCATTGCCAAACCTGGGAAGGCACAGGGACACATGGGTTCACACATCTACAAGTCAAAGGGCTCTATCCTGGCTAACCAGGGGCTGTGTGCTCAGACAGGAGGCACCCTGAGAGAGGAATATTCTGGCAACATTCCTCCCGGTCTGTGGGGCCCACGGACTCCCTGGCTGGAGAGAGGAGGAGAAGCCTCACTAGGGAGGGAGACACCTGTCCATCAGTCCGTCTAGTTCTGGAGTTGTTTAAGATAAAAAGAGAATGTCCTAACTCACATCACTTTCCACGCCCATGTCTCACGCTGAACCAAATAAAAGAGAGTTTTATTTACAGAAAGCAGTATGACTTAATTTCTTTTCAAGCAAAAAATAATTAAAATCACACAGGCTATTTAAAGAGTAAAAGAGGTGAGAGGGAAGTAAGGTGGGAAGAGGAGGGACCGGGACTACTTCCCGCCATTCTCCTGTAATGGTATCATTCAGTCATGTTTTCCATTTAGAGACTTTCGTTCCATCCACGGGGGAAAGTCTCAGAACAAAAGAACACACTGGGACGGTAAAAGGCACCAAAGAAAGGCTTCTCTGATATCCGGCCAGAGTCCTGTTTACACTGGCCAGCAGGACCAGCAGGCACATGAGTGGCTGGCTGGTGGTGGCCCACAGGGCCTGTCCCAGTGAGAGGTGGCCAGAACGCAGGCTCTATGAGGGCTCTGCCTGTCCTGCTCACTGCTGAGTCCTCAGTGCCTATGACAGTGCCAAGCCTCAAAAGGGATACTAATCCAAAAAACCCACAACAACAAAAAAGAAAACCTCACCGCTAACTCATAGCAACGCTATAGGACAGAGTAGAACTGCCCCACAGAGTTTCCAAGGAGCGCCTGGTGGATTCAAACGGCTGACTTTTCGGTTAGCAGCCGAACTCTTAACCACTGCGCCACCAGGGATTCCCAAGGGATGCTACGTCCTATAAATACTTGCTAAATGAATTAATGAGTGTCTCTTTGCCTTGTCTTAAAATTTAAACCAAAGGCTTCTGAAAATTAAACCAGTAGGTGGCAGCACTGAGCTTCGAGGAATCACAAGTACAAGAAGCCACTGAATACAAGTACAAACAGCACGGCTATTTCACCGAAGGAAAAATGTGGATGGTGAGAAAGCTGTATGGGGAAGAATGACATATTCAAATGGCACTTCTGGCCTCACAGAAACCCACTCCCACGAGAAAACTGGTACAATGCAGACAGTTTCTGAAACAGGCAGCGTCCTGACAGTGAGCATGTGAACTGCCAGAATGTTTTCAATCACAGAATCAAAACATCTTGCAATTAGGAAAGATCCGAGACCACTGATTCTTGAACCTCTTTTGCAAAGGAAAGATCCGAGACCACTGATTCTTGAACCTCTTTTGCAAAGGTGTTTGTGTTGTTAAAGGTGGTGATGACATCTGTTCAAATTTTATTTCTAAGACAATAACGCGTTAACTCTTTACAGTTACTGTTTGACGGAAGGGAAGGGTCTGGAGCGTTCCGGTGTCTGTGGCGTGAGCACAGGGCATGATGAGCGGCAATCAGATAATGCAGCCCACAATCCAGTCAGCTGGTCTGTCACTCAACTGAACCCTTAACTGCCACGGTGGTTTTGGCCTCCATTCGGTGAGGAACTCTTATATTCCTCATTCCATGGTGTTTAATTTATACTCGGGTCAGTATAAAACTTAAGGAAAACATGATGAAATTCAAGTGAATGGGGAGCATAAGATGGTAATTCCATAAACCCACCCCAAGATGCTTTTCTCCAGACCCTTGCTTGCATGTGTTTAGTTAAACACATCAAAAAGCCATGGCTTACAAAAATGCTATAGAAGAATCCTGATCAAAGGGGGAAAAATACGGAACAGAATTTCAAATTCTCAAGGAATCCAGAGTTTCTGGAGCCATGGAGGCTGGATGAACCCCTGAAACCACTGCCCTGAGATAATCTTTAAACCTTAAACCAAAAATATTCCCTGAAGTCTTCTTAAAAACCAAACAATAGTTTAGCTTAACTAGTAAAGAATGTCTGCCTTGAGCACTGTGCTCTTTTATGTCATCAAACTGACAACAGCAACTTGGAAGATTAGACAGGAAGCTTAGGGGGCAGTGAGTTTATGTTAATGGGGGAGGAACAATTCAGAAAAGGAGAACGAGAATGGCTGTACAACTTGAAGAATGTAATCAGTGTCACCGAGTTGTACATGTAGAAACTTGAACTGCCATATGTTCTGCTGTGTACACTCTCAACAATAAAAAAAGTCATTGCTCACAGAAGAAAACAGAGGTGATTATACCCAGGGTGACTGTTTTATACGCTGGTACTTGCGGACAAGCTGACCACACAGGCAGCACGTTGGTGAGGTAGTCAAGTATCACCACTGACCTTCTTCAAAATTTCATTTAGAAAAAGAACACAAAAAATAAAGATTTAAACCTACATGTTAAAAAAAAAAATCTACATTTTAACCATACATATTTGGTCCCAAAACAAGATATTCAGTTCATTTTTTAATTTGAAAAATCTTATGTT